CCCGAGACCAGACCTCGCGGGCGCAGGCCCGCCAAGAGTGGGGCCGCAACAGCGACCTCCCGAGACAGCGGCCACAACGACAGCATGCAGTGGAGGCCCGACCACAAGAGCCGTCCACGAGAAGCCCAACCCTGAGACCCCCGGACGTCCGTTGACTTTCGGTGTGGGAGCGTCACGCTTTTTTTTTTATCCCCCCCCACAGATGGCAGCCCCCCTCGCAGTCGACCAGTGGAGGGGGGCCATCCCCTTTTGTCAGCCCACGGTGCGGCTTTGCGTAGGCTGCACACCGTGGACCCGCGACAGGCCCCCCTCCCCAAAACGGGGTATCCGAGCGTGCGCTCCCTCGGACAGAACACTAAATAAACTGAGAAACGGACGATCGCTGGCGCACTGACGATCGTTGCCATGGCAGAACCATCGGAGCCCAGGAAACCCGTGGCAGCGTGCTTCTTGGCAAGGGGCCTCCACTGTGGCCATCAGGTGACTGTTCTGTTCAGGTCGGGCCATGTCCTCCTCCAGGCGGATCTTGGACGAGAAAAAGAGAAAGTAGCCACAAAATAGTCGAGAAGAGTCAAACGTCGTCGAAAAGTCGTCCCCGTGCCACTTTCTGACTGCTTCTGCATGTTCCCCTCTGTGGAGTGTTGGCACTGCTGATGATGGGCGCGCGGATCGACATGCTCGACGCGGGCGACGCTCCGAGGGGCCCCGGAGCTGGTCACACTGGGCGCGCTCCCCCGACACGCCGACCGCAGCATCTATTTTCCCCCCCCCCCCCAGCGCCAATTTGCAGGGGGAGAGGGAGCGACCGCAACAGCTCTCGAGTAACCCGTGCACTCCGTGGCAGTTCGCGGCAGAGACAAGCCAGTGGCTTCCACTATAGCCAGTCTCGAACTTGTCCCTATCCCTGAGACGGGCGAGCAAAAAGCGGGGACCATCTTAGGGATGTGCCCTCAGAAACCGAGGGAATCCTTAAGATCGGCATCGAGGTGAGGTGATGCCAAACACAGGGATAGGGATACGTTTCAAACTGGTAGAATTACAGCAGAAACCAGAAGTAAAAAAGAGCACCGGCGAGGAGAGGAGACGGGAGGAGGGAGGGGGGCGGAGGCCAAGGAAGGGGGAGAAGGGGGCGTTGCGGCGAAACCTGCCGTGAAAACCCGAACTGAAGGGGCCCTGGGACACACACAGAAATACACACAAATCACCGAAATCCCTATATTTTCCCATATTTTCTGGATTTTTTGTCTTCCCCCCCACTTCCCATATTTTCCCATGTTTTTGGGGGGAATCGACGATTCATTGCGTCTGTGTGCTTCTTTCTCTCCTGACCAACGGCCCGCCGACCGCAGCATCTTTTCCTTGCGACTTGTGCGCTGGTCGAAACTTCGGCCGGCACCCTGCAGTGGAGGCCAGTCCACAAGATGCCTCCCACAAGAAACCCAGCCCTGGGACGCCCACTGATTTCTGGCGTGGGGGAACCACGCTCTCCGCAGCAAGGCCACCGACGCCCAAGACACCCAGGGCACCCTGGAGGCAAGCGGGGTGTTCCTCGGCCGTGGATCTCCACTGCATGTGATTCAGCTGGATCGAAACTGAACCTGGTCGAAAGCTCGACCATAGCATCCCTGTGTGACCTCAACTGGTCGACGTTTCGCCCAGCGCCCTGCTGCTTTGCTAGGGCTCCCAACTTCGCGCTTCGCGCTCCGCGAAGCGCGAAGCGCGAATAACTTCGCGCCCTCGCGCCGCCCCCCCAAAGGGAGAAAAGGAGGACGAGGAGGAGGGGGAGAAGGAACGAGGACCGCGAAGCGCGAAGCGCGAATAACTTCGCGCCCTCATGGGAGCCCTTGCTTTGGTGCCCGCTCGTGCTCATGGCCATCATTTGGCGCTCCCCCCTGGCCCGAGGGTGGACCGCCGCGTGCGATCGAAGCCGAGGACCCGCGCTTCCATGCCACGACCCCGCCCGAGAACATCGGCGGGCCAGCGCATCCGACGCCACGATCTCTCTCAACAGATCAATTCTGGGCTCGGGCTCCCGAGAAGACGAGCCCCTCCTTACCAGCTTGGAACATATCCCTATCCCTATGTTGGGCATCGCCTCATCACGATGGCGATCTTAGGGATTTCCTCAGTTTCTGAGGGTGTATCCCTAAGATTGTCATCTCCTTTTAGCGTGTCAATCTTAGGGATAGGGATAAGCTCGAGGCTGGTGACCTCCTCCCGGCCCCGCCCGCTGCCCCCCTTCCAGAAAACCAGGCCGGACGTGCGCGCGGGAGATTCTCGGACGTCGGCGCTGTCGGCAGCGGCGCTGCCAAGGGAACCCAAAGCATACGAGCCCCTCCTCCCTGCCCCGCCCACTGCCCCCCCTGCAGCTGGCCGTCGCTCGGACGTCCATTCCCTGTCTTTTTCGGTCTCGTGCGTTGTTTTTTTCGACAAATGATCACGGATGCTCCTCGATGGTCCGCGACGAAGGAAAAATGCACACGTCCGAGCGATGCCAAGCTCCAGAAAACCAGGCCGGATGTGCGCGCGGGAAAGTCTCGGACGTCAGCGCTGTCGGCAGCGGCGCTAGCGGGGAGCCCAAGGGATGTCGGGCCCCTCTCCGGGAGCTCTGGATCTGCCCTCAAGTCGAGCACGTCCCTTTAGAGGAGAAGTACTCAAAAATACTAAGAACTACCTGGGGACGATTGCAGCCGAGATCGGCGCGTTCCCCCAGAACGCCGACCGCGGCATCGCGAAGCCTGAGTCTCGAGATTTAAGCGGCAACTGCTCGATTCGGGGAAAGCAATTGCATATTGACACATGAAACAACACATATACATATATATATATATATATATATATATATATATATATATAGCGGTAATCAATCCAACTCAAATATCTCAATGCCGTCAAACGGAAAGTTCAATACTGCTGAATCGATGTGTGCAATCGAGGGCTCTATAACTGCTTGGAGTCTCCACAGATCAGGTCTGTCAACCGAGTGCATGCGAAAAAAACGTCTCCACGCTACGTCGGCTTCTCCAAGTGTTTTCATGATAATACTGGGGCTAGGGCCCTAAAGTTTTGACAGAAAAACGCCTCATACTTCACGACACGAGGGAAAAGACTGGTTCTTCAAACGAGAGTTCACATCTCGAACAGTCTTACCTGAACCGAACCCAAATTCTCACATTGTCTCTTCTGACTGGGCTGGCCGACTGGGCGCGGGCGGTACACCGTCAACCTGGTTACCGCCGGGGACCTCGTTGAGCAAACACAGACATGCGACGTCCTGATTTTTTCAGGACGGCGTCCCTGGAAATCCAGACCCTTTCCCCGGGGCTGGTTTTTCGTCCTGAGTCGTTTTTCGACGGTCCCGGGGCCCGGCGAGGGCCCCCAGGGGCCGAAAATATCGGAAAAGCTGGCCGTCCTGATTTTTTCACGACGCGATCCTGCCTGGGAGCACACACAGTGGAGGCCGAGGCCCGCAGAGCGGAGACTCCTCGGAGACTTCCCAGATGCCCCTCCCCGCGGTGCGGCGCGGCGCCGTCGTGGGCTGCTCGCCCCGCGACAGGAGGGACTCCCAGCAGGCCCAGACGCCGGACAGGTCCTCGCGCCCGACGCCGCACGCCGTCGCACGGCGGCGTCGGCGCGGGCGACATTCGTCGGAGGGAGCCAGAGATCGGGCGCCTCGAAAAAATCGAGACGGAAGCTTCTCGTGGTTTTCGCCCTCTCGAGGCCCTCGCCGGGCCTCGGGACCGTCAAAAACGGCTCGGGACGAGAAACCGGCCCTGGGGAAGTGGTCGGGAGGTCGGGGGCCCGTGTCTCGAAGAAATCGAGACGTCGGATGTCTGGGGAGGAGGGAGCGGAAGGGGACAGCAAGGCACAGCAAGGCGGCCCCAGCCACAGCAAGACAGACTGCCTTGCCGCTTCGAAGAGGAAACGAATTCAGAGGGCGGAGAGCCAGTCCCGTCGAGGCTCGGACTTGGGGATGGCATCGTCGGCCCTTCCATATCCGTTCCCTCCCTTTTATCTCTCCCCTTCTCCCCCCCACCGTGGTGCACGTCAAGGATTTGAGCGTTGACAATCAACATCGCAACGAGGACATGTTTTAACATAGTATTGGGCACATGTGTTGCTGAGTTCGTGCTGCACTGAGGGCACATGTTCAGCTGCGTTTGTGCTGCACTGAGGGGACCCACGCACGCACATACCGCCCCCCCCCACACACACATACCCCCCCACACACACACACACATACCACACACACACACACACACACACACACACACACACACACACACACACACACACACACAAACACACACACACACACTTGTTTTTCTGGCACGTCGATGGGGTGCAATCAGCGGATCAAGTATAACTAAGACGGGGCGTGAACACACACACACACACAGCTAAACCTCTCAGGGTGGATATCCTGGCGCGAGGGGGAAGATCGAGGATCTCGGGCTTCAAATTCAATTCGAATGTGACTACTGAATGATCAACCAGCCAAAACAACGCGTCCTGACTCCCCACTCAACTTAATCATTCACGATCCGCAAACATCCTCCTAGTAACGTGTTCGTGCTCCTGCTCCTCTTGTGGGCCCCTGGCTCACACGAGGCCCTGTGACGATCCTCCCTGTGACAGGCCAAGAGCCTTCGAGAAGGAAGAGACAACCTCAAGCATAGAGGGGGTACGTCTCCACGATGGAAAACAACACTTCATCTTTGAAGCTCCACGGGATCTTCAGGGGAGGGAAAGCGAGCGAAGAATAGCAAAAGGGGCAGAATAATGACAGGGGAACGCGGAATGGCAGGGAGAGGGGCGCGGAATGGCGCGAACGAGGACTAGCACGAAAGGAGGCGAACGACGAGCGGCGAGGGGATGACGAGGACAACCCTTAACGACGCTGCCGGCAAAAGCGAGGCTGGGCAGAGCAAGTCCTTCGCATAGCCGTGGGCCCGTATCAGCGACCCGCACGTCTGCACGCTCCACCTGTAGCCCGTATCCTGGGGGGTGGGTGGGCGGCTGGTGCAGCGCCTCCTCCCTCGTCCTCCCTCGCTCCGTCCCTCCTCACGCCGCCTCGTCGTGCCGTCCTCCTCTTCGCCTCCACTCTCCCCGAGCATGCCACCTTGCTCCCTCTCACCCTGCCTGATCTCTGTCTCTCTCTCTCTCTCTCTGAATGTTCGTTTTTTTTTTTTCTGTCTCTCTCTCTCTCTCGCTCGCTCGCTCGCTCTCGTGCAGCGATACATCCACGGGGAAGTGCGGCGCATGCCATCTTTCGGCGGGGCTAAGCGGAGGAGGAGGAGGAGGAGGAGGAGGAGGAAGAGGAGGAGGAGGAGGAGGAGGAGGAGGAAGAGCAGGAGGAGGAGGTTGCGATCTTCCCCTCCTCAGGAAGGGGCGGCGTGGGGGGTCGAGGCGAGGAGGGAGTACACTCTCGGGCGCAGCCGCGGCAGGCTGGGGCGGGGGGGGGCTGGAACGCCAGCGCCGCGAACGCGCACGAGCGCATCCCACCCCCGACGGTCCAGTTGGGAGGGAGGGGCGCGTGCGCGCGTTCCTTTTTCAACACTCTCTCTCCCTGAGAGGAAGGAGAGCTATGCACACACACACACACACCGATTCTGGCCAGGACCCTCCTGGGCCCAGAGTCGGTGCATATACGCCCTCGTGGCCTTGGCCGGGAAGGTATGTGCACCGATCCTGGGTCAAGGATGGGCGTTGTCAGGACCGGTGCATGTGCATAGTTCTTCCCTCCCTCTCTCTCCCTCTCGTTGCCGCCTTGCCTCTTCCGTTCCCCTGCCATTCCAAGCTGCTCCGCCCCGCCGCCCCTCAAAAGACCAGCCGGCCGGGCAGCCCAGGCGCTCCGCGGGAGGCTTCCTCGCCACGGGTGAGCCTGAAGCTTGACATACAGTCGGGGCGTTGACCTAAGGAGCCCTAAATAAGGAACGATGTCCCTTTTTTCCATCATACGTTAAACTTCGATTCCCATCGAAAACATAAGGAAAACCTGATGCAAGCTGTGAAACAATCAAGGAACACCGAGCCCCTCCCCAACAAAAAGTGTTCCTTCTTCAGCGCCCCGACTGTATGCAACGGTTATGCGGATTAATGGTGGTACGGTCGAGCCTACAAGACTCGTCAACCATGAGTTGTAAGTTTTTGTTTTCGGTGCTCGAGTGGTGGGCGCTACTTCAGTGCTGGCATCGGGCAATCGGCCCAGACGCAGGGGTGTCCGAAATCTGGCAGTACCCTCACAGCATTGAAGAACGCGTTTTCTGACCAGTGCCTGAACCTCCAGCGCTTCGATTCTGAACATCGTTTCAAATTATTTTGGACAGAAGAATATCCCTCAAAAACATGAGACCCTCCGCAAGCCAAAGCACACAGAACGTCTACGGGTGCCCCCCCCCCAAAGGATGCACAAAAACATCCGACAAGCACGGATAATGTAGGTGCCCTCCTCGATCTTATACCGCATACCTCGGTCCGACCGTGCGGATGAACGGTGGTACACGTCGTTCATTTCAAATCGTGCTCATTTCTAATCGTGTTTGTTTCTAATTGTTCCTGGCCCCCCAGTGGCCCGGAAGAGGCCCAGGACAAAATAATTAGAAATGAAAGGATCCTGGCCCCCCAAAAATCCAGGAACTCTCGAAGAATTAGAAATGATCAATGTGTACCTTTTCAACATGGGGCCCTCGCTCTTGGCGCCGCGCAAACTTCGTCTTAAAAGCCTGCAGCAGCCTCATGGCCGGAGGGTCCTACCTTTTCAACATGGGGGCTCTCGCCGCAGGGCCGCGCAAACGCGACTTCAGCGCTTGCAGCAACCACGAGGACAGAGCACGGCCCCCTTTTCACGGCGGGGCTCTCGCTCGAGACCTCCTCGACATTGGCGACCCGAATCTTGAAATCGTGCAGCGGCTGCACGGATGCATCGGCGGCGAGGATAAGGGCGAACAGCTCGGGGGCGGGCATTGCACGCATTCGCCCGGGAGCCTTGCCGAAGACATAGATCATCGGCGCCCCCTGGATACGTGTATTGCCCCCCCCCCCTGGGCTACTCGCCCTTATCGTCGCTTCTGGATGTAGGGAGGTGCCTTCTCGAACTGGAGCTCCCGCCCGAGGCTTCCTTAGACAAGTGAGCGGCCGTGCGTGCAACCACCTCCTCCAACAGCTGCACGGACAAAGGGGAGGGAGGAGGAGGAGGAGGAGGAGGAGGACGAGGAGGAGGAGGAGGGGGAGGAGGAGGAGGGGGAGGAGGAGGAGGAGGAGGAGAGGGAGGAGCAGAGGGAGGAGGAGGAGAGGAGGAGGAGGAGGAGGAGGAGGAGGAGGAGGAGGAGGAGGAGGAGGAGAGGGAGGAGGAGAGGGAGGAGGAGGAGGAGGATCGATCGATCGAGCCGTGGGAACGAGGTTCGATGCCTTGTGTCAGTGGGCAGCTTGATAAAATTCTCTCGAATCGTCCTAGCTGGGTTCGCTTCGTACGCTGGGTGAGCGGGCGCCAATTAGCGCTCGGGCCCTACCCGCACCTGAAGCCCCACGCAGAGGCAGAAGGGCAGGGTAGCACCCGCCTCTTGCGGAAGACCTACCTCGCCTGTTGCCCCTGGTTTGTACCTTGGGCTCGCCCCCCCTTGCCTCGACCTTTTCGTTTGGGTTCTGGCGGGGGGGGGGGGAGGGCGGTGCATCAAAAAGTAATATGGGAATCCTTGGCCTCTGAAGTGAAAAATCTCGGGGGCGCTCTGAGGAGGAGGTGGAGTGAGGCTACCTCTGGCAGCGAGCTCTCTGAATCGCACACTTGTTTCAAAAGCTCTGGGCACAGTGCGGGGCAACCTCTCACTCTGGATTTGGCGCAAGCCTATCCGATGCTCTTCTCTGGGTTCATTTTCTGTTCGGCCAGTCAGCCGCGCTCTCTCTCGCCGCTGGCCTTCTCCATCTCCTCCCGGCCGTTGACCTGGTAGCCCAGCTCCCTCTGCAGAGCCCCGCGCGGTGCCGATCCCCACTCTGCGCGTTGCTCCCTCCTTCTTCGGCTGGTTGATCAGGTTTGTCGCGATCTGGTCGTTCGGGCTGATCGTGAACTGGAATATGCATTTGTCTTTGCCCTGTCCGCCCTTGCCTTTGTTGTGCCTGACGCGAAATACTGGAACTGAATCTCCACTGACGTCGGCCGCTCTTCCCAGGATTTTGTCGCTGTAGTACTGCTCCGAGCTCGTTCTGGCCGCGCCCTCCTCGAGCGTCTTGCCCGTGTACGCGCGCACCTCCACCCGCTCCTTCACGTGCGGGCTCCCCAGGGCCGCGGTGTCTACCTGCTCTACGTTCTTGGCTCGCTGGTTCGGGTCCTGCGCCTGGTCGTTGTATGCCTTGCCTGCGCCGAGCCCCAAGGTAGCGAGATTGGTATCGGTGCTTATCTCCCCTGCATGTAGCGCTGCGGCAATTAATTCGGCTTGTTCGCGTGCGAGTGCGAGGGTCAGCCTGGCCATCCAATCGTTCATCTGCTGCTGTTGTCCTGCAGGGGCTGGTGCTCCTCCGCCTCGCTGTGCTTGCCCCTGGTGTCCTCGGCTGCGGTCTGGGCGGCCTCCCTCTGGCCTCGGCGACGCTTGCCCTCCTGGTCGTCCGTCGAATAGCGACATCCCTCCCTGGTTGAAGTAGCTGTCTCGGTAAGTGCGTAAGAAGATGTCTTTGGCTGCTGTATTTACCCAAGGCAAAATGACTACAGATCGGGCACCTCGGGTCGTGAGGAGTCGGCTGGTGTTCATTCTTTGTCGTGTCGCGAATACAGCCCCCCCTGATCATGCTGCGTGCTAGATGTTTCCAGGCCGTTACTGTGCTAGTAAATACCTGCCCGCAATTGATGCACTCGTTATTGCTTGTCAAGACTGCTGCTAGGCTATGTACATGAGGAGCTCGTACGATATGACTGCGCAGTGCCTTCTTGCTTGCGAATAGCATGCCACATACTGTCTGGTTGGCGATATATCCGCGAAGGCTGATGGCGGACAGATCGTCGGATTTGTGTAGTTCGCACTTCCATACCTTTTGTTCGTCCAACGCTATGTTTCTCGTTGTTCATCGATATGGTCATGTTGTACGGGGGGTACTGATACAGTTAGCTTGGCCGCTCGTACTTCCCGTGGATCCAGAAATACAAGTTTTCTCGAATGTCTAGCGTGAAGAGCTTGCCTATCGTTATGTTCTTGCCCTCTCCCAAGACGTTCTGGAAACTCTCCGAAACCTCGCGGGCGCACTGGGTGTCCTCAAGGAACCTCTGGGCCCCGGGGTTGGCGTCGCTATGGATCGCATCGCAGTTCGCATCGTTGGTCTCGAACTCGATTCGGCCGAAGAGCGCGACTATCAACTGCCTGCGGTTGCTGGGAAAACGGGGGCTGTGTTTTAGCCAGCTGGCTCTCCTCACCAGTGCCTCTTCCGCTGGCGGCAGTATTTGCCAATGGCGGAAGACTTCCAAGGTACTCCTGCTCCTCACGTTGCCGTCCTCGTGCTACGTCGTGGCTCTGCCCCTCATCGCTCGTCTGAGTAGCGCTCCCATTGCGCTCTGTAGCTGTCGGCATTCCGTGGCTGTCGGCAGGAAGCACTCGATGCAAGAGAGGCCAGTGTTGATGACCCTGCAGAGTAGTACAGCTCGTTTCCATCTGTGGGGTATGTTGGCATTGCTCCAAAACGCCCCGCACTCATAAGAGCTCTTCTCCATGGCCGCGGTGCGCTTGGTGAGCTCCGCTCCGTCGTTCTGGTGGGGGCTGACCTGTGGTCCGAGACAGCGCGCATGAGGCAGTGCTGTTCCTGGCATCTTGCACTCGATGCTGTTCCTGAGGTCTCTGTGCGACTTCGTCGGGCCTTGGCCCTGGAAGCTCGCGATGTTCTCCTGTTTGTCCTGGTTCTGCCTCGCCCCGATCTTGTCTAGCCTCTCGTTCAGCGCTTTGTCCACGATGTGGGCCTGGCGTGCGAGATCTCGCGCGTCCGCCTGCTGTCCTAGGATGAGATTGCGTAGGCCGTCCGCGTA